GGGGGGGGGGGGGGGGGGGAGGCAAGATGAGTTTGGTAAAAATAATTCAAAACTCTCCTAAATCCCATGTTTGTATAAAAAATTCAGTCTCAGATTTTTAAACCCGGCCCGTAGCTGGCCTAAAGATTAAAACCATGATCATGAGTTTTGTCAAACCTAGGGAGGGGGTGGGTTTGAGAAGATGGGTAAGGGGTTAAAGATCCAAAAGATAATTGTATCTCTTAACGTGGGTACGACTTGGATTGATAAAGGGCAACATAGTCATTTAAAAGACAAATATTTGTTAAATAATTATGATATATCCGTGGGTTCTACACATGTATGTGTTTGCATACCAAAAATGGGTATGAACTGGATTGAATGTTGAATCTCATATTTACAAAGAAGAGTTTGAGTTTGAAAAGGTTTGGAGAAGTCAATCCAAACCTCTCCCCAAAATTCATTCAAATAAGCCCTCAAGGTTGGAGCGTTGACAGCACTCAGGAACATGACCACAACACGCATGCACATTTCCCTGAGCACCTCCCACGAATGCCACAGCAAACCTCATTAGACCTTCCATCTGTGCAGATTTATTAAGCGAACGAGTTTGAGAACACTCTTCCACACAAATATATGCACGAGATATAATCGAGCACCAAGTCTTGACACATACCGGAAGGCCTTACATAGTACTTCTGAACCTATTTTATAAAGCAAATCAATCCCACAGAGACTCAAGTGTATGAAGTCACAAATAAGAAAGATATCATCATGTATCCAAGAGACTATCTACTTGTTCCATTTCTGTCATTTATGCCTTTTAATACTAAAAAGTCTTGCAGATGACTTTTGTTGACGAGAATTCGTTTCAAAGCCTTGAAACATTTTTGTTGCAGAAGCCAGTTCCAATGAAAATTCAAATTCATCCATGGATTTCTCTGAATCGTTGGATGGAAAACTGTCCCCTCCATCCCCATCATCAAAGTCGTTTCCTTTGCATTCATTCTGTTTTGATTTCCTCTGCTTCTCTTTGGCGTTGAAAGGCATCAAGTTGTGTATCACTTTGTTGCTCAACATTTTGAGGAAGAGAGGGTAGGGATTGTGCAATTTGAAATATGACCACCTTAATAATGGATTTATCTGGTGAACCAGTGCAGGCTTCGGGGTTGTCATCGACTTGTAGAGCTTTCGAATTGATTTTCAAGATGAATTTGAGGGGCCAATTAAAAGCATACCAACATAATAAAATCAATTTCACGCAATATATTACTATCAATTACCCATTTATTTAATTTCTCAGAATATAAAAATGAAACCCAATAACTCAAAACTTAGTCCTTCCCAACGTAATTAAGATCAACAAAGTTACAACATTCAGATACCGCAAAGACAATATCAGCGCTACTTGTTTCGGGTCCTAAACTTATTTCTGTTTAAAAAGGCAGAAAAACTATTTATACACAAAAAACTATATACAGATGGAAACTAAATTTACCACAAAAAAGAAAAACAGCAGTACAATTTCGGACAAAGCAAGCTACTTTGCACTTTCTACTTGCAGTCAGATTCTAGTCGAATTTGCCCAAAAAGGGTTTTGGAAGTTCGACAAAACTACTCTGAGAGTCAGAAATCTGAATATACTTGCAGTTACTAGCGTTGTCTAGAGAGGAAGAACTCGTAATCAGATTGTCTATTCATACATTGTTGACTTCCTTTTGTCACAACAGCTCTTGCCATAAGAGATGCCGTTTGCTCAAGAGTCCTTAACCGCTCTTTCAGTATTCCCAAAGTGTATGTGTTTGGGATCTCGGCTGTTTGGCTGTGTGCAGGGTGCCTTTGCTGGAACCAGCATTCACCCTGCATATTTGGCATTCAAAGACATGAACAAGATCTATATGCATGGGAAGTGTAACAAAGAAATAGACAGATTGTCAAACTTCAGACATATACAAGGGTGCAAATACTAATTTCCAGGGCTCCCACTTGTTATGCAAATACATGATTACCGCTTACGAATTGGCTATAGCTACCTAATACAGGTCTTTGCATCTTACAACATCAATTTCTTTGTTACAAACGAATTCAGATTGATGTAATGCTAGACATGGTAAGTTCTATGGCGAACCGCACAGGTTAAATTAACTTGCATTTTATATTCCAAGTGCAATACATTATTTTAAAGGTTATGAACTTACAGAAAAGGGAGATGTACCCACCAGGGACAACAGAAATGTAATAAATAATCTCACCATGAAAATTAGATACTAGTACTAGTAATAGTATTAAAAAAAAATTCTGAAAAGCCAGGTATGTTTTAATGTAAGGAGAACATTCTATAGGGTTTAAGACAAGCATTTCTTAAAGCAAGAAACTGTTCAGATTGCTATATTGGATGAGGAGTGACAACATTTCCAATGCAATTTAGCTGGGTTTATGTTGCCTCTTTATTTATCTATTTGTTTATTTCTTAGCTTAATCAAAGGACAGGTGAGGATTCTTCTAAGAAAAAACCAGTTTAGGTTCTTTGGAATATCTAAATAACTGGTAAAGTTATTTACCTGAGCATTGTAGCTCTGAAGACCGACAACCGGAGAAACTACAGAAGCATCAACACAACGGGAATCAAATAGGGGGCCTCTGTGAACCAAATGACCAAGTGAATGGTAAGTCAAGAAAGCTGCACGAAAATTGTCATCAGGTATCCTGTAAATAGGATACCATGCCACTGAGTACCTGAAAATTACATGGTGTCAGTGGTTATATAAGGAAATTTGCCTTGTCTTATTCGGTGACACTGTATACTGAATTATCTAGAACTGATTTAGAATTGGGTTATGCTTCACATAGTACAGTACTTTATCCAATTATTCTGGATTCACTTTATAATTGTTGGAGTATAGTCTAGGTTATTAGGGTTTCTTTTCCCTTTTTTACCCGTATTATTATTTTATATTTTGCCTAGACCACAAGGATATTTAGGTTACTTTGTATTATTATTTGATTATATATATAGGCTTATACTCTTAGTTTGAATATCTCTTTTCACTCACATCTATTTCAAGTTGGTATCAGAGCCACCAAACCTAACCCTAACCCTAGCCTCCGCCAAACATCACAACCAGCGAGACAAAATTAGGTACCACTCCACCAACTGCCTCTGCTGAAACCAAGCAACTCCATTAAACCAGAAACTCCTTTTTTTAACCAAGCAACTCCACCGTCTGCCTCTCCATTAAACCAGCAACTCCATTAAACTCAATCACTGACCAGCATACCAGTCAGCCCATCATCCGCCGACTGCCCAACTTTTTCAGCCCATCCAACCTAGCAGCCAAACTCCACCAAAAAAAAACCCAGCCCACTGTCCACACACAAAAAAAAAAAAATTAAAGAAAAAAACCCAGCCAAACCTCACCAAAAAACAAAAATCCAGCCCACTGTCCAACCGAAAACCTAGCCCAACCAGCCCATTGTTCAGCCTTTGACCAACCCAGTGCCCAGGCAGCACCCAGCTCGTGCTCAGGCAGTCCCCGCGCCAGTCTATCACACCTTTGTGCTTCGAGTTCTTCGTCGCAGTGTCGTCATCTCTTCGTGCCACTGATTTCTTTTTCCTAAGGGTGCAGCATCTAGGGTCTTTTTAAGAGGGGTCGAATCCTCTTTTTCGTTGGTCTGCTCTTGATGCAGTAGATCAATTATTTATCTTTATTGAATTTTTGGGCACCGTGACCTGATTATTTGGGAGCATTCTGGACCTTCTTTATCCGTCACTATTGTTCGATTGGAGGTATATTATTCTTCCTTATTTTGTCCCTCTATTTATCTTAGAGTTTTGTCACGAGTGCCCACGTATTGTTATTGTTATAGTTACTACTGAGGGATTTGAGACCTCCACTGTTGAGATCTCAGTTGTTAGTACTTCCACTAGGAATGTACCTCCTGGTTCTTGTTAGTGTGATTATTGTGACCGATTAGGCCATCTTAGGGCTACTTGTTGGAGGCTCTATCCGGAGCTTAAGCTACGTCCTCACAGCCATACTACTGCTATTGTTAAGGTACCATCACCTACTGCCGTTGTTCTTGCTGCTGCTGCTCCTTGATAAAGTGATATGGATGTTTTCATCTCCCAATTGAATATACTTATATCCGCCCTAACTTCTCAGGGTCTGACTATTGTTACTGCCACCACTATAGGTATACCTCGAGCCTTTCATGCTTGCGCCAGTCCGTCTCCTCTTTGGATGTTGGACTCGGGTGCGAATGGTCATATGACAGGTGAGGCCCATCACTTCACCACTTTTGACAAGCAGTTACATACACAGGATCAGCTAGCAGATGAAAAACATGCCCCTATTGTTAGTAGGGGTATAGTCCGCCTCCCAGATAGCTTTACATTATATTCGATTTTTCATGCACCAAAACTAGCCATGAATCTATTATCTGTACATCAGTTAGCCAGAGATTTTCATTGTGCGGTTGTGTTTTTATCTGATTCGTGTTATTTGCAAGACCTGAGTACCAAGATGATTATTATCAGGGGACATGAAAGAGATGGATTGTATTATCTAGGCGATCCACCTCTAGTTTCACCAGTTCCTCCACCTCCATTACCTGTTCCTAGCTTGCATGCTAGTATTTTGCCTAGAATTTGTTGTTATGATTTTTCATCACAAACTATTCAATTGTGGCATGACCGTTTTAGGCATACAAATTTTAAATATTTATATATGTTATTTCTTGCTTTGAGCAAAACTTGTGTTTGTGGTAAACTTGACTGCGTTATATATTCCTTATCGAAACATATTCGGACCAGTTATATTCCTCGCATGCACCAGTCATCCAAGTCATTTGACCTAATACACTATAATATTTGGGGACCCTTTTCTGTTATTGCTCTGTCAGGTGCGCGATATTATGTAACATTTATAGATGACCATACCCGTTATACTTGGGTCTACCTTTTGAATAGGAAGTCTGATGTACTACCTGTCATCACTTAGTTTCTTTAGATGATTAAGACACAATTCGATGTCATTGTTTGTGCTATTCCTTCGGATAATGCCAAAAAATATGTGTCTGATGCCTTAGTGTCTCACCTTTCCTCTCAGGATATTCTTCAGCAGCTCACTTGTTCATATACTTTTGAGTAAAATAGAGTTGCTGAAAGGAAAAATAGGAGTCTAATAAGGATAATACGTTGTATGCTTAGAGGTATAGAGGTACCAAATCTTTTTGACATTTTGTTGTTTTGACTTCTACCTTTCTATGTAATCGTACACTGAGTCGTGTTCTTCATCATAAGCCTCCCTTATATGTCCTATTCCTTGAGCGGACACTTTTTTCAGTCCTCTTTCGTGTTTTTGGTTGCATATGTTTTGTTCAAGATCGGTCTCCTACTTGCTATAAGCTTGGTGATAAAGCGATTTGTTGTGTCTTTGTGGACTATTATCATCAGTCTAAGGGATATCGGTGCTATGATCCTGTCAGGCGCCGTATGTATCACAGTCTAAATGTTACGTTCTTGAGCACATTCCTTATTTTTCTTCCAATCATGTGTCTATCCCTCCAGTTGATAATACTCCCTTTGATTTTTTGTTACCACAGGAGCCAGAGCCATTGATCACTATCACTATAGAGTTATCAGTCTCTCCTCCTCCAGAGTCATTCGTCCCAATCAGTACAAAGTCACTAGCCTCTTTTCCTTTGCAAGTTTATGTTCATCACCCTCGCTCTCATTCCCCTACTAATGTCCCCTCTACCTCAGGCGATGCAGGTAATACTTCTCAGTTCATTGAGCATATTAATGCACCTGTTATTAATATTGATGAGATTGCAAGTATTAAGCCAGTTACTTTCCCTGATGAGACATTGTCAGTGGAGGATGATGATTTAGAGCGTCGTTATCCGCAGCGTGATCGCCGTCCAGTTGTTTGTTATGGTTAGACCGTCAGGACTTTATATTCAATCTCTGTTTATGTTTCTTATGGTGATCTTTCTCCTACATTTTAAACTTATAGTATAACCTTATCAGATACGCCGGTTTCTCGCTCTGTTTCAGAGGCTATGTGGGAGCTCCAATGGGTTCTTACCATGCAAACAGAGATTGACACTCTTCAGCGTAATCATACGTGGGATCTTGTCTCTTTACCTTCAGGGGTAAAACCTATTGGTTGTCGCTAGGTTTACACCCAGAAGTTTCTTGTGGATGATACTATTGATCGTCACAAGGCTAGACTTGTGGCGAAGGGCTTTACTCAGGTACCAGGTCGTGATTTTTGTGCTACCTTTGCCTCCGTGGTAAAATTGACTACTATTTGATTGATTATTTCTTTGGCTACAAAGTACTCTTGGCCTCTTCATTAGTTGGATGTGAAGAATACATTTCTTCAAGGTGATTTGGACGAAATTATTTATATGGATGCACCATCGGGTTTTCGTGGTGAGAGGGAGTATGTTGGAAAAGTATGTCGACTGCGTAAGTCTCTCTATAGACTAAAACAATCACCACGAGCCTAGTTCTCTAGCTTTAGTGATGTAGTTGTATGTTTAAGGTTCACTAGATGTCATTCTAATCATATCTGCTTCATTCGATGGAATACTTCTATACAGTGTGTCGACCTTTTGGTATATGTTGATGATATTATTATTATTGGATATGATATTTCTGGGAGTATGCAGGTCAAGGTAGATCTTGGGACAGCCTTTAATGTGAAGGACCTTGGATTTCTGCGATACTTTCTTGGAATTGAGGTTGCCGTAGCAACATGAGTATTGTTCTTTCTCAGAGAAAGTATAATCTTGATCTTCTCTCAGACACTGGAATGCTAGGGTGCAAATCAGTATCATCACCCATGATTCTAAACCTGAAGCTTACTACTGAATGTGAGGAGTTGAGAGATCTGACTGTCTATCAGAGGTTGATAGATAGACTTATCTACCTAGCCAATACTAGGCCAAACATTTCATTCGATGTCAGCCGCGTTAGTTAGTTCATGCACAAGTCGTGTCAACCTCATCTTGATGTAGTTTATCATATTCTTCGATACCTCAAGTTTTGTCCTGGACTTAGGTTATTCTATGCATCAGGATCTCAGACTAATTCTATAGCCTGTTATTCAGATTCAGATTATGGGAGAACATGTGACGGTCGATCTACTACGGGCTTCTGTGCTTTTCGAGGGACTTATCTTATCTTTTGAAAGAGCAAGAAACAAGCAGTTGTCTCTTGTTCGTCAGCAGAGACAGAGAATCGGGCACTGACACTTGGCACATGTGAGATTATCTGGCCACGATAGATTCTTAGCGAGTTGGGATTTTCAATGACTTCTTTATTTACATTATATTGTGATAATTGATCTGCTATTCAGTTCGCTTCTGACTCTATATTACACGAGTGGATGAAGCATATGAATATCGATGTTCACTTTCTTCGGGAGAAGGTTTGTTGTGGTATTGTCACTCCATTATTTGTGGGAACTAGTGATCAGATTGTGGATGTTTTCACCACACCTGTCACTCTATCCATTCTCCGAGACTTCGTTGTCAAGTTTGACTTAGTTAATATTTTTGCGCCTAACTTGAGGGAGAGTGTAGGAGTATTGTCTTAACTTATTAGGGTTTCTTTTCCTTTTTTTACCCTTACTATGACTTTATATTTTGGCTAGACCGCAAGGATGTTTAAGGTCACTTTGTATTGACTATATATACGGGACTCTACTCTTACTTTGAGTATCCCCGCTCACTCACATCTATTTCAAGTATAATTACTAACCATGATTTGGGGTGAAGATCACATAGACCCATTGAACCCAAAAGAGTGGCATCCCCATATGCTCTAGATTGTGAAGGTCCCCCACCTCTAATAAGCTCCTTTATCCTGAAACAAAAAAGTCAGGACCATTGTCAATTTACAAATGCTGGTCAAAAATCAGTTATTCTTTGTAATAGGAAGAAAAGTTAACACTAGAAAAGATATCTGAGACAACTTGATACAGCCAGTCTGTCAACCTAAAAACTTCAACTAGAACCCTTTCAAGTTAAAATAGTACGGCGAAAGCATGTCTTTATCCCACCATCCAATTTAAAAACACTAGCTCCACATCTGGGTAGTGTGTCCATATTGGATACGACACCCTATTTAAAGTATCAATGCTTCATAGGGCAATCACTTTGTCTCTTTGATTATGAGTCTATGACCCTATAGGAGCCTCGTGCACTGGACCACCTTTTTAGTCAATATATACATTTTAGAGACGTGGCAATAAAGTTACACCATTGTGACTTCGGCGTCACCAATTCGAGGCACACAAAAATCTCTTTGCATCAGATCTTCCCTAGACCTCACAAGAGCCTTGTTTGATGCTAGAAATTATATACACATCTTATTGGACCGAGATGTGCACTTAAATATACATGCATGCATATTCCATATGTTCAAAGACACATATGCCAAGTTGTTTTTTTGGTTGCCACGATGATGGAGGTGGTATTGTTGAAGAGAGTCTTGATACCAGTGGTTCTAACAGGCTTGTCAATAGTGGTGGTGTTAATGATGGCTTGCTTGATGTAGGTGGCATTGGTGCAGAGAAAGACCACTATTGGAAGTGGTGAGGCAAATCAACTTGTTAACAAGTCAGCAATTCGGACTTCAGGAAAACAAATCAAATTCAAACCATACTTAAAAGAATGAAAATCCAATTTAACCTCTTTATATATAATTAGCACTTGTGAAAAGTGAGAACTTAACAAGGCAACTCTCAGTGGAGCTATTCGATTATATTAATGTAGCGTGATAGAACTATAGGAAATCTTATGATGTCTCAGACATGATGTTGAAGCTATGGCCTAATAATAGAGCAAACGAACACTTACATTTCAAACAAAGGTCGTCTTTGTTGAGGTTGATCAGATTCAAAATATTCAAAAAGAAGCTCGAAATCATCTGACCATTTAGCACCAACTGGTTGCTTTGAGGCATTGTCTTTGACGCACACAGAAGACGGCTCAGAGTCAGACACATGACTCTCTGAGGTAAAAGAACCTGAGCCTTCTGTGCAAGGCTTAGGAATAAGTATTGAAAATATTGGAAGGTGAGCCATATTGGAGGAACTTTCAGATGCTTTATCTATCTTCTGTGCCACCATACTCTCAGCACTAGAAATTCCACTAGCATAATCTGCCGGATAACTCCTACATTTTCCGAACAGCTGAACTGCAGACAAATATGGGACAAAATAGGCACGAAATGCATGGCGATCAATACCCAATCGTCTTGAATTGCTATAGTCCTCTGACTTTACTTCCAAACCATAGCTCCCATGTTGTTCATACCACTGCCACAAGCTTCCCAGTGAGATGTTTGGTTTCTCGTGTCTGCACAGCGATGCCCCAAAAGCCTGACTGCGCCAGCAAGTCTGGCAATTTGCAATAATCTGAGATGGACAAATAACTGGAGAGGCAGAACGAATAACTCTTTCAAACTCAGCAATTGGACAACCAGTGGCCATTTGGATGGCTTCAGAGGCTAATTCTGCTGCATGGGCATCATTGACTGCCCAAAGTATATTGCTTGGATCATTTTCAGAAGCTGACATGTTATGTTTTGTAGATTCACTAGTTAAGCATTTTGCAGCAGAATGATCGTTACAGCTCACGTTAACCACGCATGTGCTGTGATTTCCCAAATTCTGAAACCCAACTTCATCTTTAGCCTGTAAAACATTAACATTTTCAGAACTCTGATCCATGCACATTTCTCCGGTACTTGTTGAAGAAACAAGACCATGAGAATCCAAAGCAAAGTCCTCTTCTGCAGTTTTTTTCAAAGTCTGGCTTTCAGCCGCTAATTCATCAAGGCTAGTCTTTGACAGACTGCTAGCTTGACCTGAGCTTGGTAACCCAGAATCTTTTACTCCAACATGTTTCAATTTCTGTAAACTGACTCTGGAGCTTGTGTCCTTAATGTGATCTGCAGGAGAAACTTGTGCGTCTGATTTAGGACCTTCATCACCTACAACTGCATGAAGATATACCGGAGAAAGCTGCTCGAGCAGCTCTAATGGTTCATGAAAGTTGGCAGATCTTGACATAGAGCTAGTTTGATTTTCTGAAGGTTGACCATCCAAACTGCAAACAGTAGAACAGTTACTTTCAAAAGCCTCCAATTCATTGTCACAATCTTGTGATCTGCGAACTGCTATGAAGGCATCAGATTCTGTTTTCTTGCTTTTTTGAAATCCAGGAGTCTTCGAAAGAGATCCTTTAAGCCTGTTTAACTCTTTTTGCCTGCTTGTTTGGGCAAGAATATCTGATATGTCATTTTGTTGCACACTAATCTCAGAACAAAGAGTTGAGTGGGCCTTGGTAGCATGAGATCCCTTCCTGCAATAAGTTTTGTACTCTTGCTTTGATCCTGGACTTATTTTCCTTTTCAGCTCTCCACAAGCCCTGAAGTTTGCCTGGTTTTTTCCTTCAGATTTCGAAAACATAATAGAACTAACAACATTACGATGCTTTTTAAGTAACGTCGATTCTTTCAACCCTATATTGGACTGGGAATGAACTGGGCTTACTTTTTTCAAATCATAGTTGCATTCATTAGCATCATGTCTCTGAACCTTCTGCCAGACAAAGTTATTAGTCTCCTTCCCAGAATGGCCACGGAAATTTCCAACACTGCTAGTCCCGTAGAAGCTAGGATTCCTGGGTACTCTAGATATATTTTCTCTCTTACCCAGTACTTCTGAATGTCTGTCACGACCAGTACACCCCTGCTCACCGCTGTTTGTTCTCTCAGCACTACGACAATACCCAACAGCACCAGTTGACACATTTTCAGGAGAGAAACATCCCTTTCTAGCTATGTAACCAGATGAATCTGAACAATCAATTCCAGCACAGTCTTTGTTAGATAGTTTGAAATCATTTTCAGTGTTACAACTGCCATCGGTGCTTGAACCAAGTGACACAGAGTCCAACACCAGAGTGTCGTTCGTCACAGAGAAAACATTGGAATGAGCATCACTGGAACAACTTATCCGTTTGAAAGGTGTATCATCCTCTCCATTTATGATAGAAAATCCTGGGTATTTTGTATGAAGCCCATTTTCACAATCATATAAGCAATGTTTACTACTGTAGTTCTGATGCATAGTTTCTGATTCATCCACGTCATTAGTGTAGGATGTGCAAATCTGTGATGTTGCAGAACAGTTGATAGTGCCATTATGGTTTCCTTCAGAACAATTTTCATTGCATCTATGCTCTGGCTGTGAAACTGCCAGTGTAGTTGCACATGGAAACAGTCTGTTACCAGCATTGATGTCCTTATCACAACCAGTTTCAGATGCTAAACTTCCATGTGCATACTCCAGCTCAGTTAAGCCAGTATTGCCTGAAAGCTTCCTATTTCTCTTTCCTTTTCTCACCTTCTTTCTTGAATTTCTTTTTACAGTGTTATCTTCCTTGGAAAAATTAATGTATGTATCAAAAGAAATTGTAGGGTTTAGAGCCACTTGGGATCACAAGAAGATACTTACAGGTAATGGAAAAAATCTGACAAGAAGAATTAACAAACAACAATTTCACTTACATTATTAGAAAAGCCTTTGCTCTGAGATTGACATGGAGAACCTGGCCCAGAAGAGCTTCTAGCTGTAAGTGACTTGAAGGAACAACTCCTATCTCTAATAGTCCCTCTTTGTGCCTTTTGGAAATCAAGTTTGACGGAACTAACAAGTGATGGAGAAACCAAATGGAGGTCATTCATATTCAACTGATTTCTAGATGCCAAGTGGATTGTGTTATCCGGACACTGCAGAGGCAGTGCAACAACCATCCAGTGACCATTGGGTTCCAGAGATAAAAATGTCAAAAAAGCACACCTGATAATTGAATAGAGAGGTTGATAATCAGTCATGCATTAGCCACAACATCAAAATATAACAATCAAATATCTTCAAGAATACAAATTTATTATAATGATGCTCATCAAGAAATGAGAAAAGTAAATATTGTTACTTCTAGTCATGCATGAATTCAACTCAAACAATTACAGCACCAAGGAACTCCAATAAACTCTAGAATGCTACACAGTAAGATTCTAATGTTGTGTAAATTTTTTACTTCTTTTGTGATAATCTAACGCTGTCTAGCCTTTATATACATGCTTACAACACACAAATTAAAGTTCTTTACAGGACTCAAATACCAAATCCAAGATCCTACCTTATCGGGAGGAAGCAGAGACCACAGAGCACATGACAAACATTCTTCTCTGTAATGTCAGAGGTTTATATAGACAAACATAAGGTTTCAAGTCAAAACTACTAAATTCCACTAGCACGCCATATATATCACATAGAACTTGATGCACATTTATTGAACTCAACATATCTATAAAAATAAGCAAAGTGGGTTTTTGAGCTGTGTACCACATTTAACACAAAACATCCAAAATTATTTTACCTATTATCAGAGTTCCTCAAAATAATAGAAGATACTTCACGATCCTGAAACGAAGGGTAAACATACACCATAACAGGTCAGAATAAATTCACCGAGCTAAATGGAGGTAGGCCTAAATCACATATTGCAAAAGATATGTGACCTTTGAAGCTGCAGTGAGGGTATTTAGTTGTAAATCTTTTGTATTTAGTGAACTATTTTCGCCATCTGCATCTTTCTGAAGATTGTTACGGGTTCTTCGAAGGGTACGATGCATCTTTTCTGGAAACTGCATATTTTAGATAGCAGATATAAGGACAAGAATTGTTGCTCTAATGATGAAAAAAAGGAACAACTTTCTAGTAAACTGTGAACATTAAGAACTTTGAGCTTTTTGCAATAAAAACACAACTGTCTACAGATTCCAGGCTCCCAGAGAAGCTTCAACATATCTGTCGGGTAAAGATAAATTTAAAGAAAAAATAAAAAGCAAAAATTTGTAACAGACATTTAAGCCAAATCAAGCAACAAGGGAACATACGGGCATTACAGCAACAATGATCGAAAACCTTCGTAAGACAAAAGAAAAATTATATATGTAAAAAACTTGAAAGATTAAAGCATAACATATTATGTTAGTATATACTGTGCACATTCATGCACAGAGCACACAGAAATCTCATCCTGGTAAGTACAAGATGGGTCAAACGTCAAAGTCACAAAAAAAAAAAAGAAAAGAAAGAAAAACTGTTTAGATTTGTATTTAAGGATAATACGTATAGTGAAAAAGTTGGGTTTTAAAAGTGGATTCAATCAAGTGTGTTAAGTCAACATATAATTGAAGTGAAAAAAAAAGTCAAAAGCAGGTCTATAAAGATTTGTTGGTTAAAAAAAGCAGCTATGTAAATGCAATGATCAGGTTGACTTCTAGTTTCTGTCAATCCACAAGCTCAGATCTAAATTCCAGGAAAAAGCAGCCAATAATCTAGTTTTATTAGTAGATTTCTACTATCTGTATTCTTTCAGTCAGTTCACATGATAAGATCTACATAAAAAGTGTAATTTCAATTTCCCTTCAACGTGGTGCTCATGTTGATCATTATCAATCTTTTTTTGATTACCCCCCTTTTTTTTTGTGATCCAACCACTTCACTAAGTACAGTAATGTACCACTTGAAAGAAACTGAGTCAATAGCACCATTCAGTCATTTGCGCAATTTTATTCTAGCCACCTCTTGTTCATTCAATTTTCCAAGAGAAAATAAACATGAAGATAGTGAGGAAACCAAGTCTCAAGAGACAAACAAACTGAAGAAAACCTGCTAGTAACATAAGGGGGCAGCACGCAATTAAAAGGGCATCGTTCAGAATAATCGTTATTCTCAATTGGTCTATCTGCCATCCATCTTAACAGAGGAAATCATTAAAATCCAAAAAAGGCCTAGGGATTAAAATCACTCTGATGTAGAGAGCAGGAAAGGAGAAGAGATACCAAAAACTCACAAGGTTATGTACACAAAAATTATCCATAGAGGACTAATTTCATTGATATCACTCCAATGAAAATAGTAGGGATTACACCAATATCTATAGGCTAAATGATTGACCAAAACAATAGTTTTCTCTAAACAATATGATAACACTACAATAAATTCCAGCTTTAATCAATTCTTTTTCGATCCCCATCACACTCTCATGAGCTAATCCATTCCTACTAACTCCAATAATAAACCCCTAATCCTAAATGATGTCTTCAAAACTAAAAGAAAAAAAAAAATAGAGCCATGTTAACATTTTAAACCCTCAAAAGGAAAATTATGTATAAAATCTATATGAGGAGACTAACTGGGGAAACCAAAGGGAGAGAGATCGAAAAATCATAAGATTTTCCATGAGGTTCATCTAATGTTATGTCCAATACATTTCACCTGCAACGCTTAGGATTGGCTTTCCATTCTACTTTAAATACATTTTCACTAAAACTTGCACAAAGAACATATGAGAGAAAACAAAAGTAGTAGATAAGAAGCCCTCTAAAACCTGTGGGTACCACAGTTGCATTAGGAAGATTTCCTGAATCCTCGCAACAAAATCAGATGAACAGTTACATGCAAGCTAATATAAGATCCACACCCAAAAAACAGATTTAGGTGTACCTTGAAAAAGAATCCAAACATAGGAATGGGTGAATTTTTATCACAAAAGGGAAATTCATACTTTAATCCAAACGTCAAACAACAAACTGTATATCTTTGATAAAATGAAGACAGACCACATTGTAACTGCAATCAAGAAAAATTCCTAAATCGGCAAATAGTACTTCTGTACAGGAACAACAACGATAACTTGCTTTATAATGTGTGGAGACAATTTGCAGGAAGTGAAAAATACCACATTTTAATATAACAATACACATAATTATAATTATACCCAATGTGACTAAAATGGGGCGTTCTAATCATTGCAGCGTCTGGACAGACTGCGCTAGAGACTTAAGAGTGCTAGGAAATCTACAGTAAGAACACAAAATTAACTTGAGCATCCCAAATACAGAAACTCTTAAAAAGACAATTTCCTTGTTCTTCCACAAATAGAGCACAGTTATGCAAAATGACAAGGGCGATTTGGGCATGCTTTCTTGAATATGATGTCACATTCAGACAATCAATTCTGCAATACTTTGGCATAATTGAACATATAAAAAGAAAAAGAATAAAAGTACCAGGTGATAATAATGAAAACCAAATATTGTAATCTTCAACATGTAATCCAATTCAATTTAGCGATGTATCCAACTATTCAGCGACAATCTTGAACAAGTTTTGGAAAAATAAAGAAATAAGAAAGGAAAAGATAAGAACTCAGAGCATGTAAAGCTCAAATTGGGTACTTCCCTATTGAGAAAGCGGAAAAAGACAAACAGACCACAAATCTAGGGGAACCCAACTCAACCACCAGTCCAAATAATCAGTTAGTTGATCAAAAAAAATTAAAAAAAAAAAAAAACTCTAGAGGTTTATTCTGGAATTAACTAAATTTAGACACTGATCACAAACGTAAGACTAAAATAAGACACTGCCCTAATAATGACTAAGTCTCATATCACCAATTCCTTCTCTAAACCTACAAGAAAAATAGACCCATGAAAAAATATCCCCAAAAAATTACAATAAATAAAAATTGAAAATCCCCCAGATATAGCTGACAAGATCTATATAAGTGAGAGATAGTCCTATTATTTCTCAAAAACCCATTATTCATCCACAAGAAAATCAACGAAAAATAAAGCAAATAAACACAAAAAATGTCAATTCAACCAGTTCGTGTGTTTACAGTTGGGGAGAGAGAGAGAGAGAGAGAGAGAGAGAGAGGACATGAACGAGCTTTATCTTGGTGGCGGTCTGAGTTGAGGCCTGTGTGGCTCTCTTCTTTATTAAGTAATCCGTCTTGGCTGATGTTTGTCGCAATTACGTTGTTGCTGTTGACGATGAGAGTGAGAAGCAGGACAGATCAGTGTCCAAGTCCACCTCTACAACTACAACACCAGCTTTGAATTGGAATGTGATGAGACTTTGCTTTTCTTGTTTCTTCTAATTGCATTGGAGGCCCAAAGTATGTAATTTGTCCTATTTTGATCTCTAATATTTCAAATATATCATTTTAATCTAGAAGTATTAAATATCTATATAATAAAGTAACTTATAATTCAAAACTCAAAAGATAAATAAAATGACTTTTGCTATTTGCGGTTGAGATCGCTTTAAATTTTACTTTAAAGTTAATATAACGATTAATATTAACACCTTAAATTTAATATGAAAAATAAAGTTCTAAAAGTGTGTTTGAAGTGACCTTTTAAAAACACTATTAAAAATTATTTCTCATATATATTTTTAAAAAAATAGTATTTGAAACTATCTCACTACTACCTCTACCACCACCACCACCACCACCGTTGCAATCGCGGTCGTCGCCACCACCACTACCGTCGTCGTCGTCGCCGCCGCCTCCGTCGCCACCACCATCATCACCGCCACTACTACCACCATTATCATCACCGCCACTACTACCACCACCATCATCACCGCCACTACTACCACCACCGTCGTCGTCGTCACTGCTGTCGCTGCCACTGCCACCGACACTATCGTCGTCACCACCACGGTCATTGCCACTCACCACAACCATCACTGTCTCCTACCACCATTACTACTGTCCACCACCTCTCACCTCTGCTATAAATCGATGCTTAAATTCATTTATCTTTTCTCAATATTTGTGATTTGATTTTAGATATAAATATAAATATCTTTATTGTTTAACATTTTTTATTATTTTGTGTCTTCGGGCACAGGCAATAACTAGTCTATATAATAAAATAGCTTACAATTCAAATATCAAAAGATAAACAAAATGACTTTTGTTATTCGCGGTTGAGATCACTTTAAATTTTACTTTAAAATTAATCTAACGGTTAATATTAACATCCTAAATTTAATAGGAGAAATAGGTCCCTAAGGGTGTGTTTGAAGTGACTTTTTAAAAGTATTTTTAAAAATTATTTTTCATAAATACTTTAAAAAAAAATAGTGTTTGAAACCGCCCCACCACTACCTCTATCACCACCACCCCCACCACCACTATCACCGCCGCCACCAACACTGTCATCGCCACACCACTACCACCACCATCGCTACCACCACCACCATCCCTACTCCCCACCGTCGCCGTCACCACCATCACCACCCGCCATCGTCGTCACTATCACCACCATCACTGATGTCGCCCTTTTCGCCACCACCACCACCACCATCACCGCCGCCACCGCCACCGTCGCCGCCACTGTCGTCGCCCTTTTCGCCATCGCCACCACCACCATTACTACCGTCGTTGTCGCCACCACCACTATCATCGACGCCCTTGCCACCATTGCGGTTATTGTCACCCATCACAATCATTACCGTCTCCTACCACCATCATTGTCGCCCACCACTACAAATCGATGCTTAAATTACGTTATCTTTTCTCTATGTTTGTGATTTGATTTTGAATATAAATATAAATATGTTTATTGTTCACTATTTTTTATTACTCTGTGTCTCAGGCACAAATAATAACTAGTATTCCCTCCGTTCTTAAACATTTGTCGTTTTATCCAATTTTTTTTGTTCCAGAATATCTGTCGTTTTATAAAATCAAAGCATAATTAATATTTTTTTCTTTCAAATTTACTCTTATTTATGTTTTTCAATAAGTGCTTAAGAGATTAAGTGTAGGCTAAGTGTCTTTCATATTCCATTCCTTCCCAATATGTATTAAATAAGGATATTTTAGTCTTGTTCAATTACTTTTTACTCATACTAGAGCTATTTAATAGCTTCCTTAATCCCTGTGCAAAAATTTTAAACGACAGATATTTAGGAATGGATGAAATATTTTTATATGATCCATCAAATAGATAGTGTCCAGATTGTTAACAATTTGTTATCATAAATTTGTCAAGTGATACTTAAATATAGACAAAAAAATAATTTGAATAACTTTTAACCAAATTTTTGCTCAAATTTTGGTTAAGTAGTTACCTATATTATACAATTTTGATTATGAACTATCTTAGTTTTGGACAAATACTATTTATATTACACATTTTTTTGTCAATAGTTACCGAAATTTTTTTTAAGAGCTAACAAAATTATTTTTTTATTCATATTTAGATATTAAGTGACAAGTTTATGATAAAAAATCATTAGCAATCTGAATATTATTTGTTTGAAGGATCATATAAAAATATATTTAATATTTCAGAGATCAAAATAATACAATTAAAATATTAAAAACTAAAATAAAATATATTTTATATTTTAACGACTTTTAATGCAATTAACCCTTCTACGATAATGCCAAGGCCATTGCAGAAAAAGAGTAGGGCTCTGTTTATCATTTCGAACAATTTGGTGGGGGTAATTTCGTCCGTATGAGATTCAATTTGAATTTGAATTTGTTTTCTTTTTGAAAGTTGTTAACATTACCACTAGAGCATGCAACTAGACTTTAGCTTTATTTGACGTAGGTGCAGTTAGATTTTTCACAGATAATTGTGTAGAGCAAAGAGATCATATTCTCTTATAAATATATAGAGTGATCTATTTATATATTAATTTTTATAACAAAAAAAAAAGTTCATGTATAAAAAAATTTGATTTTATCTTTCCTAACGTATTTTTTAATGGGTAACATTTTTTTGTTTTTTGGAAGGGGGACTTGAACTCTTGATCTCAAGAAGACAAAGTCTTCACAAGCCAAAGAGTACCATTAAACCAAAAGTCCATTGATTTTTAATGGATAACATATTTATATATAACAAATCTTATTTAAATTCACGTCAAATGACTTAACAAAGAGTGAAATTGAAAATATATATTAAATTAGATGTTATCCAATTATTAAGGATACAAATTTTTATAATTATCTATATGTATATATATCTATATAATAAAGTATAATACAATTCAAATCTCAAAAGATAAATAAAATGACTTTTATTTTTCGCGTTTGAGATTTTTTTAAATTTTACTTTAAAGTTAATCCAATGACTAATATTTAACTCTCCAAAATTTAATAGAAAAAATAGGTTCTTAAGAGTGTTTAGGGTGAATTTTCAAAAGTACTTCTAAGATTTATAACTTCTCATAAGAATATTAAAAAAAATGTAGTATTTGAAATAGCTCCATCACAACTACCACCACCACCTTCACTGCCCCACCACCATCACTACTACCACCACAATCGTCGCCGTTATCACCCCACCACCTCTACCACAACCACCACCAGCACTGCCCCCACAATCACCATCGCCACCACCACCAGTGTCCCTCTCTTTTTTAGTCTCCCTTACTACCAACAACAAATCCACAACCAAACGCCCCCATCGCCACCATCTCTCTCTCTCTCTCAACCACTCACCCAAAAACCCCATCCCAGAAAACTCCATTTCACTCGCAAAACCCTCACCTCCGATGACTGAAGCAACTTGGATTTCTCTTCATCGACTAAGAATCCCTAGATCTATCTTAGAGCATGATTTTTTGTTAGATCGGAGTAATTTTTTAGCTTGTTTTTGCTTAGATTGTTATGGGTTGGTTTTCTTGACATTTTATTATGATTTTTTCATTTTACCTTTGTGTATATTACAGATCTTGTGTATTTAGATTAGATCCAAACATATTTGAATTTGGTATTTTTTACAGATCTGATTTCTGATAACTTTATTTCTTTTTTTCATTTTGCCCTTCATTCTTGCTTCAGATCTGGTTATTGCGTGACTATGGTATTATCTTGGTTATTGTTTTGGATCTGGTTTGGTGCTTGATTTTTGCTTGAATACTAGGAGTCGTACTGGGGCAAAAACAAAGCGGAGAAACAGGTGGGCGGAGGTAGGGGTGGAGATTAAAATTTACCTGCAAGATGGGGACGGAGATTAAAATTTTTCTCGTTAATGAGAAAGGACTGGGGGTTGACAAAAAATTTCAAAGTGGGTATGGGGTGAAGACAACATCCCCCACCCTCGCCCCCGGTCCATTGCCATTCATATCCTTCTTGTTCTAGGACTCTGAAAACTTCCTCTCAAACTGAAATACATCTCTATCAGTCTCTTAGTCAATTCGTTAAACTGCACATTCCCACCCCAACGTATGTCTCTCACCCTTCTTGCTCTATCATAACTTCTCTCTAAAAGCGGCATTGCACTGTCACCGCCGCTGTTCGTCGTTTCCACTAGGTTTTGCTCTCTCTTTCTCCCTATCTCTGTCTTTTTCCCTCATATCTTTCCCCCCTCTATATCATTTGCCTCCCACATACCCACATATTCCCTTTGCACAAACACACGCAAATCTTAGTCACGCACACACTCTGGATGGATTTCTTGCAATTTAGGAATCAATTTCTGCTAATATTTTTTTTAAAATTTTTTCTTACAATTTAGAAATCAAATCTCAATTTATATGCCAATTATTTTTGTTTTTGCAGTTAGTCGTGAAATTTTTTTTTTTTGTGAAAGACCGTATTTCAACTTTGACATCGATTGCGGAATCAAGGAAAAATCGTTTCTATGCCGCAACCCGTCATTGTTTAGAGCGATAGGTGTCTATTGGTTGCCGAAAGGTATGTATTTAAATTTCTCTAGAATTAGGGTTTGATGTTTAATTAGTTTTAAACTTATTCAACTAGAATTTTTGTGAAAACCCACTATTTATAATTATATCTATTGAGTTATCAAATTTTTGACTTTTAATAGAAAACTCGGATGAAGAAATGGACTTCATTGTTGAATTCCTCTCATAAAAACGAGTTCGACTAGTATAATATTAACTTT